TCCCTCTTCAGGTCAGAACTGAAATGTTGATGATGGCTAGAATGACACCCAGAGGAAACCTGAGCTTACTAAGTGCTAGCTAGGCAGTCTGTCCTTGCATAATCTTATTCTAGAAATAAGATTGTAAATAAGACTGAGTAATATTTTAGGAATCTTGTTTAGTGTTCATCACGGTTATGTTCCTGGTGAAAAAATTAGATACGGCAAGACTATTCTCTCTTTATCCCAAATCACACAGCCAGTAAATAGGAAAACCAAGAATCAAATGCGGATCCATAGAGCAGGCGTCCCCAAACTACAGACTGCGGGCTGCATGCGGCCCCCTGAGGCCATTTATCCAGCCCCCCGCCCCACTTCAGGAAGGGGCACCTCTTTCACTGGTGGTCATTGAGAGGAGCACAGTATGTGGCGGCCCTCCAACGGTCTGAGGGACAGTGAACTGGCCCCCTGTGTAAAAAGTTTGGGGACGCCTGCCATAGAGCATTAAGAACATAGGAATACATAACAAAATATGTTTCAAAGAGAAACACCCCCACAGATTTAATGGTGTCCTAATAGTAAATCTCCCCCTACATTTTGGGAAACAAATTTGCATTTTCCTGCTGATTTCTTCCAGGTAGGACTTTCTCCTCTCACCAAAGCCCTATAGATCAGTGCAGTCTAGTGGAATTTCCTGTGAAGATGAAAATGTTCTATAACCCTACTATCCCCTGTGGTATCTATTGTTTACTTATGGCTGTTGAGCGAGTGTAACATATACGCTGGATTTCAAAGGCTTAGTACATGAAAATGTGTTAAATAGCTCATTGAGACTCTTTAAAAAGTCGATTGCCTGTTATGGTAACATGTTGGGTTAAATATATTGTTAAAATTAGCGTTATCTGTTTTATTTTTTCTATTTATTTATTTATTTTAGTTGAGACCAAGTCTTGTTCTGTCGCCAAGGCTGGAGTGCAGTGGTGCTGTCTCAGCTTACTGCAACCTCCGCCTCAGCCTCAGCCTCCCAAATAGCTGGGATTACAGGTGCATACCATCCCTCCCAGCTAATTGGTTTTTTTGTTTGTTTGTTTTTTGAGATGGAATCCTGCTCATTGCCCAGGCCGGAGTGCAGTGGCACAACCTTGGCTCACGGCAACCTCCACCTCCTGGCTTCAAGCAATTCTCAGCCTCCCAAGTAGGTGGGGTTACAGGTGCCCACCCCTATGCCCAGCTAATTTTTTTTTTGTTTTTAGTAGCGACGAGGCTTGACCATATTGGCTGTGCTAGTCTCAAACTCCTAACCTCCCATGGTCCTCCCTGCCTCGACCTTCCTAAAGTGCTGGGATCACAGGTGCGAACCACTGCATATGGCCTAGCAGTTTCCTCCCTAAAAGGTCAGCTTGGGTTCCTCCGTAGCCTTGGTATTTCTCTGTGGTGTTAAAGGAAACTGAATTTGAAACAAAATCCTAAAGTGATTCCTATGTATGTAAAGGATTTAAAGACTAGCTAAGAAGGAAGTTAAGGAGAAAAGTTTCCTAACTTGAACCATATTCTGTTAGAGCCACAAAGGGCTTCCGAAACCAGCTAACGATTTTACCGAAAAGATGGCATAAGTTCAAGAAGTCCCATCATCTGCCCAAGGTCACTTGTATCTAGAATTCATTGTGTATCATGCCCAGACTGACGGCCATTGCCCAGAAAGCCTGATTTCTTTTCTTTCCGAAAGAAAAGAAACGATATGTGATACATCATCATATTCAGTGTCGATTGCCCAAGCAGGGTATCATTAATGACAAATTGTTTTTTTTTTTATTTTTTTATTTTTTTAAGACAGAGGCTCACTCTGTCGCCCAAGCTGGAGTGCAGTGATGCAATCTCAGCTCACTGCAACCTCTGCTGCCCAGTTTCAGACGATTCTCCTGTTTCAGCCTCCTGAGTAGTTAGGACTAAAAGCATATGTCACCACGGCCAGCTAATTTTTTTCTTCATATTTTTAGTAGAAACAGTGTTTCACCATATTGGTCGGACTGTTCTTGAAATCCTGACCTCATGAGCCGTCTGCCTCAGCCTCCCAAAGCGCTGCGATTACAGGCGTGGGCCACTGCGCCTGGCCAATGAGAAATTTTAATGGATTTCATTGTAAAATGCGGAATCCTTCTTGCTACTTACTTCCTTGCTTTACATATGAAGCTGGGAGGCTGACACTGGGAATGGGTTTTGTTTGAATTTCTGATAGATTTTAATTTTGCAGCTGGAGCTTGGTCCTCACGGTTACTCCCTAATTTCTTTTGTTAGTCCACTGCATTCGTCTTTGGTTCTCTGTAGGTTCCATAGATAGACTGAACTGTGTCGCTGGCTTTCTTTTCTTTGCCTCACTTGTCGAATAAAATCATTTGAGGCTGAGTGGTATTGATGGCTATGCAGTGACTTGTTGCTACTGTAGAGAGGACCCTACACACGCCTTCATGGGAGTCACGTTTGTTGTTCAAATGAGCCTTCTGAGAATCAGGACCTCAAAAAAACAATAATAAATATCAGTAGTATTAAACACTAACGAACAGGGCCAATTTTCATGTAGTGCTTTTCCATAATGAATTGATTTGCTTGTGTTCAGGATTTGTAGAGCATATTCCAAATGCAGTGCAGCCTGAGGGATCAGCCAGAGTGGGGAGGAGAGATGGAGGAAGCCATCCTGTGGCGTTGAAGAAACTGAATCTGTGATCAGGAAACCTGCTGAAAGGTCTTTTCCCCTCTGTAATTTTGTTCTACACAGCGAGGCACGAGTGGTATGGGAACATATGGACAGACTTGAGTTTAATTGTTAAAATTCCACTCAGCCGGGCCCCTTCTTCACCGTGATTTGCACTATTTAGCATTTGTGTGCGTTAGGTAATATATTTAATGTTTCTTGCTCCAATCTAATTTGCGTACGTTTGGCAGCAGCCCAGCTCCGTGGGCTTGGGGCAGGGGAGACCATCCATCTGCCAGCCTGGAGCATGGAAACTGTACTGCTACGTTTGATAGTATGCTTGCATGAACACTCCAAAATGCTTGTGAAGCAATACCACCTCTTCCCCGAAAGTCTCTCAGGGACAAAATTAATGTATCTCATATTGTATTGATTGTAGCCAGTAAGTGCCTAAATGATTTGATGCAAGGCAGAGAGATTATGCAGGGAAGAAGGGTAGAGGGGCTGTAGAAGAAGTATGTGGTTTAATTACTGGCTGAATTTCTCCAATCCACCTTCCCCGCGGGAATTTAACAAATAGGCCTAAGTGCACTTTAGCGGTTGCTGACATCTGTTGAAATGATATCTGCCGGTGATGAGGGGAGTCTGGGAATTGGGCTTGGGGTATTGGCAGGATCGGGGAGCCACAGGAAGCGCCTTTCCAGTCTGCAGAATGAGGAGGAGGAAATGACTGCCTTAGCACTTTAAGGTTAAGCTACGGAGAGCACAGCTTTATCTAATAGAATTCTGCCTTCCAAGCTAATGAAGCCATCTCCATCTTAAATGCAGGGTTAGATTTAAGTGTCTGGAGTCTCACGATCTTAAAGTTCCAGGTGTTGAAAACACACGGAATTGAGCTTAAAACATGGATAGTGCATGTCCTTCACGCTCACGGTTATGAAAACCACCCCTAGCTATCTCCTTTTAATGCCTTGCTAAGAACTGTTAAGAAACTTCATCTTTTTTAGGTAAACAAGTGACTGGTTTTCTTGCACTTTTTAATGGAAGCAAAAGAAGCCAAAACCCAGCTAAAATTTCATGCTGGGTCCAGCACTGGGAAGAATGATGCTGTGTATCTGCTAGTGTTTTGATTACATCAATAATTCAAAGAAAGTGCCGTCCACTTAATCTCTTTTATGCCTCTCCGCCCGAAAGGATCCTGGTTTTATTCCGAAAGTCCTAAAGCTATCATATTCCTCAGATTTTTCTGAAATACATTATTCTGTTATGCTTGAAACATTTATATATGTTACCGACCAAACTGCATGGAAGTCGTTTGCTTTCAGAGACTAATAAAAATCCACTTTTGATGGTATACGCAAGGTGAGATGGTATCAAAACAAAATTCCAAATTAACGTGGGTATTTCTATCAGAACATATCCCTGATTGGGCATGCAATTCTTGCATCATGTGTGTGTGTGTTTGTGTGTGTGTGTGTGTGCATGTGTGTGTGTGTATTGGCTCTTGTATTTAAAAATGTGTTTGCATATGTGTGTATATGGATACGTATGTGCCATATATAAGCTGGCTAATTATTGTGACTAAAACTCTGGGGTTAAGTGGAAAATTAAAAATTCAGAGCAACCATAGTATGTTATCTGACACCTGTAATTTAGGCTAATATCTCAATTCTCTTGTTATGGACGTATCTCCTACAGTGTGGCTTTACGTAATGGGGATTGGATGTAATGTGATCAATTAATTAGAGCTTATGATTTGCATTAGTGAGACCTATATTGATTACAAAATGACCATGATCTGAAAGTAGCTCTGTGTGTGTGTGTGTGTGTGTGTGTGTGTGTGTGTTTGTGTATGTGTCTGTGTGTATGTTGGAAGTGGTGATACTGTTTTGTATGTGGTCAGCTAGCTGGGGTTGTATTTTTCACTTTATTATTGTGACGTGTGATAGACCTGGGTGTTTTAAAATTCCCAAGCTAATAATCTTGGTGGTGGTGATAGAAGAGAAAGTCTTTGAGGATGGATATGGTGGCTCATGCTTGTAATCCCAGCACTTTGAAAGACCAAGGTGGGTGGATCGCCTGAGGTCAGGAGTTCCAGGCCAGTATGGGCAACATGATGAAACCCTGTCTCTACTAAAAATACACACATGATCCAGATGTGGTGGTATGCACACTTGTAATCCCAGCTACTCAGGAGTCTGAGGCATGAGAATCGCTTGAACCTGGGAGCATAGAGGTTGCAGTGAGCCAAGGTTGGACCACTGCACTCCAGCCTGGGCCATAGAGTGAGACTCCATCTCAAAAAAAAAAAAAAAAAAAAAAAAAAAAAATGCTGCTCGCCTTGGCATCACATAGACTAAAATTGGAATGATACAGAAAAAATTAGCACGGCCCCTGTGCAAGGATGATACACAGATTCATGAAGCATTCCATGTTTTTAAGTTCAGCCTTATAATAGTGGCAAATAAAAAGTCTTATTTGTGTTAAGAAAAAAAAGCGGGGTGGGGGGTGAAAGGCTTTGAGGTGAAAGCTAGAGGTACTTGAAATTGCTTCAGGTTTTATAACTCATCACGTAAGTATTTGATTCTCTCCGTTCTCCTATGTACGAACCACAGAATTATTAGAAAACATATATAGGAGAAAATAACCAAGTTCTGTGAGTCAGAAACTTTCTAGCCCCTAATCACTTTTTCCCATTGGAAGTATATTTATAGCATACAAATCTAAACTTCTTCACTTACCTTGATAATTGGTCCCCATGTTGATGGCCCTGGGGCATCTTGAAGGATCATCAGTGATCCAAGTATATTCCATTAGTTTTAATGTCAGGAACATTTTATTGTATCCTGATTCTCTGAAACTTGGTCATCTAAAATAACATGGCAGTTCCCAATAAATCATTTCTGTTTGATTTCCTAGCCATTCTAAATATAAGAAAGCTTGATCTGGCCTTTGCTTTTCAATTCGTATAAATACAGTGATATTGAATATCTCTAGAATAACACTGAAATAGTACTGGGATTTTTTAATTTTATACTTGGACAGTCTTTTTCTGCCGTTCTCTGGTTTTGTGCATGTAAGTGCATGTATACATATAAACATATATGTGTGTGCATGTGTATATATCCAGATACCTGTATTCATCCTTCTATGTAGACATGCATGTTTATTACTTGAAAATACATAAGTAGGGCTTGCATACATTCTAATTACTATTGTAAGTGCTTTACAAATATTTAACTCAGAAAAAATAAAAAGAAAAGTTAAAAAAAAAAAAGGAAAGAAAAAAAAATTTAACTCATCTACTGGCCCAGTGACTTCATGCTGTAGGCACTGTATTCTCATTTTACCAATGGGGACAGTGAGCCCCGAAGAAACTAATTAGTTTGGGTCACAGAGCTATTGAGTGGCAGGATTGGGATTGAATTGACAATGCAGTACTTCACACAAATAATGCTTTGTAGTTCTTGAGCACTTTTCTTCATGTCAGATACGGGGATTTAATTTTTTCCTCATTCGATTTTCATAGCCATTCTATGAGTTGATTTCTATCATTATTCTTAGTTTGCAGAATGGGACTCAGGGGCTTAAAGAATAACACACGTGTAGTCACAGAGCTAGGAGCTGATGGAACTGAGCTCTGCATTCAGGAAATGAGAAGAGAGAGTTTATATATGTTATCAAGAAAGCTAGGCAGCATTGCAGATTTCCTCATCAGTTTTATGCATATATGTGTGTGTATATATATTTATATTTACATGTATATATTTACATTTACATGTACATATTTATAAGTATATTGTAGAAAGATGAAAAATTATAAAAGCCGAAAGTATCTTTTGTTATATTGACTGTGTTTTGCCGCCAAAGTTACAATTCTCAATAGTTGTCTTTTCTCTTGGCTGAGATTAAACAGAAAATTATCTTACCATTTCCACCAAATAATTTTAAGGTGTTTTAAGAGATGGTAAGTCCTTTTGAAGACGGGAGTGATTTGACTCAACTTCTCCTTCTAATATAGAAAATCTGCTATGAATCCATGTGTATATTTATTAAAACTGCATATTTATCAGTATGAAGTGGTATCATCAAAACTAATGACTTAAAGGTGCAATTGTCAACCTAAGTTGAAAATATGTTGAACTTCCAAGAGAGAAGTGGCTGCTTGATCAGAGTTCATTTATATCCAAGAGCATTGCACCAGCAATAAACTTTAAGTTAATGTTAACAATTTTAATTTGTATCTTTTAATTGTTGAATTCTGAATTGCTTTCCAATTTCCCACAGAGTTTAATGTGTATGCAAATTACACAGCCAAGAAATTTAAGCTACAAAAGATAGACTGCAGTTTGCAAGCATACCGTAATTATTGCTTAATTTTTAAAAGGTCTTTCTCTTTGTCAGGGTATTGTTCAATTTCCTGAAACTGAACAGAAGACAACTTTTGGTTAATGATTAGCATAAATCTTGTAATAGAACTTAATTGAATGCTAACTTCGTTGTTCTAACAACTACAAACTACTCAAATCCCTATTTCTCTGAGGTAGGGTTTCTTGCTCTCTAAGGACAAATAACTTGTCTTCTAATAATAGCAGGAAAGAGTTATCAGAACATTGATTTAATTGTTTGTAGGTTGTATACTTCATGCAAGCTCTTAGAAAAAGGTAAAAACAATTCTCATGTCTATTTTAATATTATATTTCTTAATGGTTTCAACTAAACTGCCTAACAGTCCTAACAAAATAAAGAAAAAGAATCTGAAGTTGAAGATAAGTGCCGTTCTTTTGTTAAAAATCAAGGTAGGAGATGCTGAGATTTAGAAGAAATAAATAGAAATATAAATGTACATTATATTTATCTACAATAGCATAATTAATATTAATGATCTTTTTATTTACTTAGTGTAAAATGAAGGCATCCAAATCAATTTGTTTGGTGGATTAGTAGTGATTTAACTTTGAAGCATTTATGTGTTTAAATATTTGTTGCTGCATATTCCTAAAGGCTATGGTGATGTAGACACTGGCCTGGGAGAGGATGCCGAAGGATGAACAACACTCCCTGGTTTCTGCTGTTGTGTTCAAGTGTTTACACATGAAACCAAGAGATAAGAAGATACTGCAGATGGTGAAAACTAATCTGAAGGGGGGGAAATGAAGCCGATGAGATACAGAATGGATTGGGGATGCGGGTAGTTGGGTTAGACAAGGCATCAGACGATGTCAGCGCTCTTGGCAGTGCGTTGAGACAGAAAGTTCCAGGTGAGAACAGCTGGTCACCTTGAAGAACCCAAAAGAGGTTTTTAATTCAGTTATATCATTGTGATCGACGAGTTCTGTTGCTGTTTGGTGTCTCGTAATGGCAATCCCGTTTCACATGTTGTGGTTTTTTTCTCTCAGACTATTCCAGGAATGGAGGATGTTTGATGATGGCTATAGGTCGTCTTGTACAGAAAACTTAACATACCAGCCTTTTTTGAAAGAGTAGGAAGGGCATTTTATTACAGCCTCCAGTCTAAAGTTCTCCTAATAAGCGTTTTACAAGATACCCACTAATACTGTAATTATGCTTCTTCTTTTCTTAACTAATTAATTGACTTATTTATTTGTTTATTTTTGAGTCTGAGTCTCACTCTGTCACCTAGGCTAGAGTGTAGTGGCGCCATCTTGGCTTGCTATGATATCTGCCTCCCAAGTTCAAGCAATTCTCTGACCTCAGCATCCCGAGGAGCTGGGATTACAGGTGCCTGCCACCACACCTGGCTAATTTTTGTCTTTTTAGTAGAGATGGGGTTTCACTGTGTTGGTCAGGCTGGTCTTGAACTCCTGACCTCAGGTGATTCATTTGCCTCAGTCTCCCAAAGGACTGGGATTGCAGCCGTAAGCCACCATGCCCGGCCTTTTAAATTTACTTTATTTATTAACTTTTTAAGAGAGTAGTTTTCACTGTGTTGATCAGGCTGCTCTTTAACTCCTAGCTCAAGTGATTCATCTGCCTTGGCTTTCAGAAGTGCTGGGATTACAGGCGTGAGTCAGCATGCCTGGCCAGGAACTGCGTTTTTACTCCAGAACCACTGGTAGGGCAGAGTGATTTGGTGATACTTAATTTCATTCTGAGTTTTTATTTATTTATTTACTTTTATTTTTTATTTGAGATGGAGTCTTGCTATGTCACCCCGTCTGGAGCATTCTGATTTTTTTTAGTAGCGGTTTTAAAATGGTTTGATAATGAAAAATTTTCAAACAAACACAAAATTAGAAATGATTGTATACTGATTCCCTTCATATGCCCTGTGCCAGGTTTCAACAGCTGCCAACATGTGGCCATACTTGTTTCTTTTACGCTTCAATCTTCTTCTCTCTTCCCCATCAGTATTTTGAAGCAAATCCAAAATACACTATTCTTATTAAAATTATCAGCATGTATGTTAGAAAAATGAGAATTCTGTTAAAAAGAACTGTATTATCATTAATGTTATTATGCCTTTACAATTAGCAAGGGGCTAGACACGGTGGCTCACACCTGTAATCGCAGCACTTTGTGAGGATGAGGTGGGTGGATCATTTGAGGTCAGGAGTTCTAGACCCACCCGGCTAAGATGGTGAAACCCTGTCTTTATTAAAAATACAAAACTTGGCGGGATGCGGTGGCTCACGCCTGTAATCCCAGCACTTTGGGAGGCCGAGGCGGGTGGATCACAAGGTTAAGAGATCGAGACCATCCTGGTCAACAAGGTGAAACCCCGTCTCTACTAAAAATACAAAAATTAGCTGGACATGGTGGCGCATGCCTGTAATCCCAGCTACTCAGGAGGCTGAGGCAGGAGAATTGCCTGAACCCAGGAGGCGGAGATTGTGGTGAGCCGAGATCGCGCCATTGCACTCCAGCCTGGGTAACAAGAGCGAAACTCCGTCTCAAAAAAAAAAAAAAAAAAAAAATACAAAACTTAGCCTTAGCCAGATGTGGTGATAGACACTTGTAATTTCAGCTACTCCGGAAGCTGAGGCAGGAGAATTGCTTGAACCCATCAGGGGGAGGTTGCAGTTAGCTGAGATCGTACCATTGCACTTCAGCCTGAACAAGAGAGTGACTCCTTGCCTCTCCCCCAGAAAGCAGTGATTTTTTAAGTGTCCAAACATCTTATTATTTAAAAATGTTTCAGTACTTAAAATTATAGAAGGATTCTCAAAGGAAAAAAGTATTGTCATTAGCATTATTATGACTTGAAATTAGCAATGATCTCTCAATATAACCAAGCATTCTCTCAATATTGTAGTCTACCTGATCATCTTACATGTTTTTAAAGTTTTCTCATTTATCAGAAGTAAAAACCTGATTGATATGTCAGAAATCAAAATTAGCCAATACATGTCTGAAGTTTGTTTTATTATATTTGTGCCACCTCTAACTCACTGTTTGCACTCTGTTTGTTGAGGGCA